TCAGTCTTCAGAAGATGACGAGCTCCCTCAACGAACGAGAAAGAGGCCTGCGTGGATGATTGATTATGAAGTCTCTGGAATTGATCAATCAGATCAATCTGATGATAATGAACTCACATATCTTGCTTTGTTTTCAGATTGTGAACCAGTAACTTATAACGATGCCACAACAGATCCAAAATGGAGAAAGGCGATGGATGCAGAGATTGATTCCATTGAAAGAAATAATACTTGGGAGATGGTCGAACAAGGACTTCCTGTCTTTGGGTAACTACATTTTACCCAAATGTAAACCAAACTGAAACAGAATGGAGAAGTTGACAAGTATAAAGCTCGTTTGGTGGCAAAAGGATACAAACAAGAGTTTGGTGTTGATTATCAAGAAGTATTTGCACCTGTAGCAAGGCATGATACTGTCAGAATGGTAATTTCATTGGCTGCACAGAATGCATGGCCCATTTTTCAGCTTGATGTCAAGTCAGCTTTCTTGCAAGGAGATTTGGAAGAAGAGGTATATATAAATCAACCCCCTGGCTATGTTAAAGTAGGCAATGAGCATAAAGTATATAAGTTGAGAAAGGCTTTATAAGGCTTAAAACAAGCCCCACGGGCATGGTATAGTCGTATTGAGTCTTATTTTATCAAAGAAGGTTTTCAAAAGTGTCCTTATGAACATACATTGTTCGTAAAATCAGAAGGAGACAAAATGCTCATTGTTTGCTTGTATGTGGATGATTTAATATATACCGGGAATGACAAGAATATGTTTGACGTTTTCAAGAAGTCAATGATGAAAGAGTTTGACATGTCTGATCTTGGATTGATGCATTATTATCTTGGTATAGAAGTGATGCAATCTGCTTATTTGTCAAAGGAAATATGTGCAAGACATGTTGAAGAAGTTTAAGATGGAAAACTGCAATCCATCTAAAACTCCCATGGAAGCAGGTATGAAACTTGTGAAGAATCCAGAAGGAGAAACTGTTGACAGCACTCTTTATAAGCAAATGGTGGGAAGTCTGATGTATGCGACTGCGACAAGACCTGATATCATGTATGCTGTAAGTGTAATCAGCAGGTTCATGGAGCATCCAAAGCAAATTCATCTTACAGCTGCAAAAAGGATTCTCAGATACCTTCAAGGGACTGGGAATTATGGCTTATTGTACAAAAGAGGAGAAAAATCAAGCTTGTATGGATTTACTGATAGTGACTATGCTGGAGATATTGAAGATAGGAAAAGCACGTCTGGCTATGCATTTATGATGGGAGCAACGGTGATTTCTTGGTCATCCAAGAAACAACCTATAGTCACGTTATCAACAACCGAAGCTGAGTTTGTCGCAGCAACAACCTGTGCGTGTCAAGCATTATGGTTGAGAAGAATACTAGAAGCATGTCATTTTCAACAAGAAGGTCCCACTACTATCTTCTGTGACAATAGTTCAACCATCAAAGTGTCTAAAAATCCAATGTTTCATGGAAGATGCAAACATATTGATGTTAGAAGATTTTTTCTGAGGGATCTGGTTAAAGAAGGAACTATTGAATTGGTGTATTGCAGAAGTGAAGATCAGGTTGCAGACATTTTTACTAAGCCGCTCAAGTTGGAAGCATTTCAGAAATTAAGAGAGCTACTTGGAGTTTGTCTGCAGGAGACTAGCAATAATTAAACTGGCATTTATTAATGTTCAGTTTAAGGGGGAGTTTGTTAGAAAAAGTCAATCATTTTAATTAGTCTTTTAATAAGTTGTTAGATTAATTAGTTGTGTTTACCTATTCTTATGCTAAGTGGGATATGCTCTGCATAGTGATAGGTAGTGGAGTACTTGATCCTATTTTTTTGCTTTGTTTTAGCCTATAAAAGGCACACTACGCTTGGATGAAATAATATCAGAGAATTCCCTCTTCTTCTTTGGCTTTTACATATACATTCCTGTGCTTGCTTGTGTTTAATATACTCAGTATTTCTCTCTTCTTGAGTGCCCATAAAGTGTTTGATAATATTCCCCAAAGAGTTTTTCCTTTCACATAAACTATATATAATCTAAATAAAGAAATGTTATAAAAATTTAATATATCAAAACTAGATTCTAATATGAATCCAATTATATTAAATTTATATTATTATTCAATATACTTTTTCATAATTTATAGTCAAAACGTTTAAATATTTAATTAAATACTATTCAAAATAAATAATGTTTTGTGAGACGGATGGAGTATGTCGTTTTCTTTACAATTTGGGTAGGGAGTGGCATTTTTTCTACCCGAGTACTTTTTATTCTTCCGTATGTTAGTGCTAAAAAAAGATTGACTTTTTGGGTTTTTCAGAATAAAGAACATCATGTACCAATGAATGTGTTGAAAATGTGGAATCTACATATTCGCACCAATGTTGGCGCACTCGCTTACGCACTCGAGTTTGAAGAAATCTGTCCAATGCCTTTGGTATAAAGAGCCGGCAATAATTGTCTTCAGAGGATGAAAATGCGGTGCAGTTCCCATACATTCTTCACTCTGCACTACACCGCCCTTGGCTTCCCCTACCCCATCACTCCCACCTCTCTTTTCCGGCGTGATTCCTGTTCAGATTCATTTCCATTTCAATCGCTCCAAACCCACAATCCAATGTTTCACAAACTAGCCATTTCTCAGTCTCAGTCGCCTGCAGCTCCATTGCCACTCAATTGCAGGGCAACGGAAGCTGTCCTTGAAGAAGATGAAGTTTCTTCGGTCGAACACTTCATCGATCCTCACGGTATCGACCCTAAATTGCTGCAGAACCTGTCCTACGATGCCCTTGTCTGGAGTTCCCTCAATGGCCTCCTCGTCGGTGACAGAAATTCTCAGGTCTGCCTTTCAACTTTCAAGAGAGTTTTTTTTGAAGATATATTTTGTGTTCCTGGGTATTAGCTACCATTCAGCTTATTGTTTTTACATATTGCATCTTTGTTCCGAAAATTGGTGCGTTGATCCTCAAGATCTTTGTTTCAATTTTGTTTCATTTTATCCCCCATAATTTGGCATGTGAGGTTCTGGAAAATGTAAACCACTCTTTAAATCAAGTTGAGATTTGTAGTCTGTATGTTTGCATCTGTTCATCTCCCTTGATTTTACAATATCATATTAGTCATGACTATGTCAAGCATTTCTACTCTTTTTTGTCCAAAAAATGCAAGTGAAGAAAAATTTGGTGTTTTTAGTTTTCTCTTGTTTTTAGAAGGTTTTTAACTAGGACATAAGTACATCTTTGTTGATTTGTATGAATTTATAGTGTTAATTATTTTTTGGACAACACTATGTGCTAGTAATATAGGATATCTGTCTTAGAAATGTTGTCTTCTAGATCAAATAAAAATGATACAACAAGCTCAAGCCGTAGGGTTAGTTGCAGTGGCTCAAAGATCAGCTGCTCAAGATCAACAGGCTTGATCACATTAAGGTCTGTATCACTATGTGTAGAGTCAATAATCATATAGATTAGTAGCATCATTCCTATGGAGTACACAGAGGGAAGTGAGAACAGTGAATTTAGCTTTTGTTATAGATAGTAAGCAAACCTTGCTAAAGGCCATAAAGTAGACCCTTCAGCACCTCACTACCTCACTGTACAGCAGAATACGTAGCACTTGTGCCAGACAACAAGTATAATAAATGATCACATTGCTGTTTCTGAGAAGAGTTACTGACCTCCAACAAGATCAAGTACCCCAACTCTACAAGTACACCCTACACATTACAAACACTGTGTTTCAAAACACTTACCTCAATGTTACACCCTACACATTCTTACTTTTCTTTCTACACGCGTGTGTGTATGTGTGTATGGTGGTAGGGTTGGGGGTGGGGACTAATGAAGAAAGTGCATGTTGTATGATTTGCGTTGAGTAAATGAAGGGAATTTCTTGTAGCCTGAGACCATTGGTGCTTTGATATTGACAGAGATCGGGAGTTGTTCCTGGCGTGGGTTTAGTTCAAGCGCCATTTGCATTGTTACCTACTTCATTTCCTGAAAGTCATTGGAAACAAGCTTGTGAAGTTGCTCCTATTTTTAATGAGCTTGTTGATCGCGTGAGTCAGGATGGAGAATTTCTACAGAAATCACTCTCCAGGTCATGCATATTTTCTTCTCCATATATCATTGTGCTTATGTTATACCAAACAGGTGACCTTGTGTGTGTGTTGTGCTCTAAATGATCAATATGTTATATTGTCATGGTATTCTATCTACTAGTTTCATTCCAATACTCCCTTTTAAGTCTAACTCAATTTGCTCTAGTTATGTTTTCTGGTGTATTTGTACCTGTTTTGCGGGATGCATGGTATAAAGGCACTTCTCGTTTGTCCTTTCAGAATGCAGTTCCACTTCATAAATATCATATGTTTTGCTGGATATATGATTGAAGTTTATTGCATAAACTAAAATACAATAAGATATGGACTCATTATTTGATTACTTGCATAATTGCATCTAATGTGCTCTATAGTTAGACATATTTCTTTTAACTGACTCGGTGCTGAATGTTTTTCCCCTGTACTGCAGAACAAAGAAAGTTGATAATTTTACATCCAGACTCCTTGACATACATTCTAAAATGTTAGAGATGAATAAGAAAGAGGTATCTCACGTGTTCCTCCTGCTGTTATTCTTGTTTTTTTGTAATGAGCATAGCTCTATGCATTTGTTTCAGCTCTCTAGAAGTCACAACCTTCTTAAATTTTTTATACTGGAAAAGATGCATTGTTCTTTAATTGTTTGAAAGCATTTCTGACGTTGAAAATGTGTTTGTGCAGTTTGGCCTAAGAAATTACAAAAGTAAACTTGACTTTACAATCAATGTAGGAAATACGCTTGGGATTACATCGTTCAGATTATATGCTGGACGAACAAACAAAGCTACTTCTGCAAATAGAACTCAATACAATCTCATCATCATTTCCTGGACTGAGTTGTCTTGTCAGCGAGCTTCACAGGTAAAGTTCTGTGTATGTTTTATAATTTTCGTTAACCTTTCTCTAATATTTTTTATTATTAGTGCTGCATGAGCTGGGGGTCTTTTGGAAATTGCCTCTCTACTTTCGAGTAGAGGCAAGGCCTACGTACTCACACCCTCCCCAAACCCTACAATCGTGGGATCCAACTGGGTTGTTGTTGTTGTTGTTTGTCTTTCTCTAATATTATTGAGATGCATTGCATCATGTCACAATGGAGATTGATTGCCTCAACATAAGATCCATTAAGAAGAAGGCTGGAACAATGTCAACAAACATCTTTTCACTGCCCAATAAAAAGACAAAAGCAGGAATAGTGAAAAGAAATATCTTCTGAAGCAAATTCTGATGCACTATCAAGAAATGAATAAGCCCCTTTAAGCACATTCTTGAAGCTAAAATAGTTCTTGTTTGCTCGAAGAAGGAAAGAGTTTAATAATTCATTTTTTAACCCTTTGGTCCCAAAACCACCTCTATAAAATGATTCCTTCCTACAACCTTATGTGCTTGAATCTTTGTAAATAACTTTCTGTTTTCGTCAGGCTCCATATCTCTGGTTTTGTTTTGCAGCATGTCCAGTACTCTTTTATGATTTGCTTGACAAGATGCAACTTTTGGAACACTATTTTATAAGAACTGGATCTGTAATAGTATAGACAGATCTTGCTATGCATTTGTATGCTTAAGATTTGCTATAATAAGAACTTGTCCAGTACTCTGTCATTGGATTCCACAGTCTCTTGCTATGTTTTTGTATACTTAAGATTTGTGGCAAGTGTCCCATCACCTTGTGGTTATCTGTGTTCTTGAATTAACATATTTGTTGTCAATGACATTGACATATAATGAAATGGGTTCTTTGATTTCAAACTGCAGGAGTTTACTTAAGCATCATCGGCAACATCTTGCATTAGACCCTGACAGAATTCCCCAAAACAATGCTCTGATTCAGTTTTCTGAAGCACTATTTAAAGCTTGGAACGAGTATAACAATCCCAGGTGAATAGTTGTGTTCACGCCTTGATCGAACTTTGCATTATAACTGCACTTTGTGTAATTAACTTGACTAAGAAATGCAGGGCTGTTGTTATGTTTGTGGTTCAAGCTGAAGAGCGGAACATGTATGATCAGCATTGGATATCTTCAGTACTGAAAGAACGATATCCTTGACTAGTCGATAGAGGCTACTCTTCATGGATGCTATGTGTTTCTTTTGGATGCATTCCCTGATTGTTTTCTGTTGTGTTCGTTCACACATTGCCTATACGTTGATACATGTTTCCCAGCTTTCCTTAGCATAGTAACACACATCAACTTACAACTATCAGGAAGACGCTTGCAGAAATTGATGTGCTCGGTGAGCTTTTACCAGATGGCACACTAGTGGTGTAGGTGACCTCACAATAATTCATCAGTAATATTGAGACTGTCTATTTTGCATTTTATGCTTGAAACACAGCCTTTAATTATTTTTTTAAATAATAACATCACAGTGAAGGTCAAGTTGTTGCAGTTGTCTACTTTAGAGCAGGATATGCTCCTAGTGATTATCACTCTGAATCTGTAAGTGGTTCTTCCTTGCTATACGTCTGTTGACAGTTATAGTTGATTGTTAATTGCGGCAATGTGGCTAAACTGTGTAATTATTTTTTATTATGGGTAGTAGTGAGTTTATAACTTTGACTTCAAGCTCCAATTGAGCAACATATTCATTAAATCTTGTGTTGATTTCACACATTGTAGGAATGGAGAGCAAGACTTCTTATGGAGCAGTCGTGTGCAATAAAGTGCCCTTCAATATCGTATCACTTGGCGGGCACCAAGAAAGTTCAGCAGGAGCTTGTGAAGCCAAACGTACTTGAGAGGTATTATCATTATCATTATACTCCATATTTAACTAATCATCACTTACACCACTTTATGTTTCAAATTAAAAATAAATACTCCCTCCGCCCTAAATACAGTATGAAGCCCTAAATACAGTATGAAGCAAAAATAGCTGGACATATTAAAAGGGTAAAAATGAAAAGAAAAAAAAAGTGGGACGGAAAAAGTAACGTTCACTCAATTTGCACATACATACTATTCTCCTAGTTTAGTGAAATAACAGTCTCTGACATTGAAGCAGGTTTCTTGACGACAAAGATGACATTGCCAAATTGCGAAAACTCTTTGCAGGCTTATGGAGCCTCGATGAGGCTGATGTCACAAGGGATGCCATTCAGAGGCCCGAATTATATGTTATGAAACCTCAACGAGAAGGCGGAGGTTGCAGAATTCATTAACTGCAGGCAGCAATTTTTGCTCTTTATATTACTACTACTAGGACATCACTAATATATATATATATATATATATATTTGCATCTCAATCCAGGCAACAATATCTATGGTGATGGTGTAAAAGAGAGTCTTGAGAAGTTGCAGAAGGAAGGCAATGGAAACGAGGCAGCAGCGTACATCCTCATGCAGAGGATCTTTCCTGCCCTGTCCAAAGCAATCCTAATGAGAGATGGCATCCCTCACAAAGAGCAAGTCGTATCAGAACTCGGCATATATGGTGCTTATCTGAGGTATACTTTACATTCTCCCACACAATGATGTTTGTTTATACGGAGTATTAGAATGATAACATTAGAAAATTGTGGGAGCCTTAATGTCTGTGTTAATTAACAAACATAATCAGAACACGAATGGACCTTCTTTGATTTTGTACGCTTGTAGCTTTTGGGCTTCTCATATACGTAGTTTGAATGACTGGGTGCAGGAGTAAAAGTGGGGTAATAATAAATGAGCATTCGGGTTACTTGATGCGGACAAAGGTCGCCTCTTCAAATGAGGGTGGGGTTGCCGCTGGCTTTGCGGTTCTAGACAGTATATACTTGGTTTGATTGAATACATACATTTTCTCGGGGGTGCTTTCTTGGAATGTGTATAATAATCAGTGCACGCTTTACATTCTAAAAAATGTGCAACTCTTGTTGTGCTTAGTGTGAATGTGCAACTTTTGCCGAAACCGGTCCGGCTCTGTTTCCCCTTTCTTTGTTTAAACCGGACCCCCAATTCAGCCAAGTATGGTTTATTTGCCCCAACCGGCGGGATGTTGCCTCTGTTTGGCTATTACTCTTTTCCCATTTTCTAAGTTGTTGCACCCATAAATAGTGCTCCATAAGTTGTTCGTTTGTTATTTACAAATTAAAACATCGTTCAATTTTCTTATTTGATAAAAAAATATTCATATAGTAACATCCTTTTTGTATGTAATTATTAAATATGAGTTAGATATCTAACCTTTCAATAAATAAATGCTCAGACCAAGGAAAACCCAATACATATTCATTTCCCATCTAAATACCATAATCTTCAGAGATGTGTCATCAAAAATAAAGAAAACTCTACTGACCAACAAAATTAAAAAAAAACAAAAAAAATACTCAAATGACATATTCACAAAAATGGGTTACTGCTAGCAGTATTTGTGCAATTAAATTCTAAACTAATGGCAAGATTTTTGATAAGAAAAGAAAGATAGGCTAATAAAATGGTTGAGTAAGCAAGCAAACAGAGTCTAATACTACTACTACTACTCATCCTTCCATCCAAACTCTCGGGCTCGGCTCTCCCACAGTTGAGAAAGCTTGCGCTCTTCTATAAATGACGCTTGTGCCCTTTCTCTAGCTTCTTCACACGTCTCCATTCCTGCAGTACATTTCTCTGCTTCCCTTTGGTAGTGGGAAGATGCTCTCTTGGCACCCGTGATTAGCGCGTTTGTATGTTCCAAGCTATCACTCGTCACATTCTTCAACAGCTTAATCTCCTCTGTTAGTAAACTGATCATGTCTTTCTTCATTTCCTCGTTCATTTCCGGGTTGTCTTTCCCACAGTCTGCACACCAAGCAAAATATCATAACAGTGTTGGGTGGGTCCTAATGAAATCACTTTTTTACCCCTACAAAATATCCCCTTTTTTTATTACATCAAAATTTTCTATTCGGTTCTTAGATGCCAGATAAGTAATCAAGTCTTAAGAAAGCAGTGAGTGATTCATTGGCAGAATTTCAGGATACTAGGGAAGTATATATAGACTAACCTGCAATTGAGCCATTCAGGACATCTGTAAGATAAAAAAAACACAAGGATACAGGATTATTGATATCAGCTTAAATATATATATATATATATATATATATATATGTAGGTGCAAAAATGAATAAAATTGAAAAACACAGAACAAACAAAAGGATGAATGAGCAGGCGCACCAAGGGCATCGCATAACAAAAGTGTAAACAAACGAATAAGCAAAACAAGACACCTTTAAACTTTCATCTTTGGTCCATTCCAAGATGATTTTCTTGCATAACTATTAAGAGAGAATGGCGTGGTTGATAGAACTTGATGTACATACTTTCCTCTCTAAATAAATCTCAACCACACAATTTCATTTTCTTACACTCCATGCTAAGTCGTGCCGACCAATCAAAAGTGAGATCATTAAGTTTGGAAGGAGGGAATGTCAGTAGAGGCCATTCGTGGGACCCTATCGGGTTGTTGTTGTTGTTGCTGGTGTATAAGTAGAGAGTAACAAACAGAATAGACTGCAACATAACTGATCAATTGGTATATAACCAGAGCACCTAGGGAATGATGTTCATGCCTAACATAAGGGCTCTGTGTAGTTAAAATTCAGGCAGGTAATAAATGGTAATTTGGAGTGTCCCCTAAAAAATTCGGCTAATAATTTGGGCAAAGTAGAGTTGATTTCTAAAGTAGGTACAAAGCAGCAAAAAAAGATAATTGTAAAAATTAAACCTCACCATGGATGTGAATGGGAAAAATTCAGCTTCACGCATCGAGTTTTACGGTAATCATCATTGTGGATGTGAGTGAGGAAACAGATATAGCCATATAGGATACATCCCATCAAGACTAAAGGTGAATATGATAGCAGTTGTCTTTCCTTGATCTAAATATACTGTAAATGTCCACCACAACAATGCAAGGCTTTCCTCATTACCCTAGAAATTTTTTGAGAGGAGCTAAAAGCTAACACCCATTCTGGTGTTATTGATTACGACAACCAAATAATTATTTTTTGAGAATTACTACATACGATTTTAAAATTTTTTAAACAGTAATTGGTAATTATTCTATTAAAACTCAAATATTCAAATAATTCCAAAGACTTTGCTAGTTATTAACTACATAACATTTTGAAGCAAATAAAATACTATTCATTATCCAATTGTTTTTTAATTACACAAAATATATATTAAAACCATCTTAATATCATAAATAAGTTTATCAAAATAAGTTTATGAAAACAATTATAATATAAAAATACATTTTTTAAATTATAAATGAACTGTTTACAAATAATATATATTTTAGTAATTTAACACAATAAGTTCAATTGCTAGTTTGCTACAAGTATTTATTAATTTGGCATAAAATATACTCCGTAATAGATGTAAATATATCTATTTGGCCAAAAACTACTCATCAAATTGATGTTATAATATTGAAGTATATTTTAAAAAATAAAAATATAGATTCTGGATTTGTAACTTATAGTATGAAAACTTGAGTCTTGACAACTGAAATACAATGCTGAAAGTAACATACCCTAAGTCAAGTGATCAACAACCTTAATTTCCCACATTGTTTCACTCTACACTACTAGGTTTGTAACTTTCATGAATAGACAAATAGCAATTCAATGAAAGCAGTGAAACAAAATTTTTTACTCATGAATTATGATGGTAAAATCCACATCACATCTCAAAACAAAAGGGTATATGCAAATAAAGGAAACCCACTGTCTGCTTGTTAGATTGAGATGAGTGAAGTGGCAATGTAATGGAGGGAAACCCATGCATTTTCTTTTCTTTTGCTGAGAACTAAGAGGGGCAAAAGTTAATGGTGAGTGCTTTTCAAATTTCAACCCAACCATTCCTCACAAATCTCATCCCTCTAAATTAGAGTCAAATAGGAGGAAAGAGTGAGTTTACTTACTTTACTCTATAAAGCTATTAGTTATCATCCATTTCCTCAATATATTCCAAGAAGAGAAAGCCATAGTACCTAAGAATTCACTTCATTTAAACTTCTCTAATCCAAAAAAGAATTAGATCACTCCCACACTCAATGTTTCTATAACCCCTTCATCTCGCTCTGACTTTGCTGCCATTCAGTGTGTTATAATAAGGCATAATCAAAATAAAATAAAATCGACAATTAGAAGTGCAGATTTTGTCTTTCAGCAATTTCATCTATCCCAAGTCAAACAGATTAACATTAAAAAAGTTTAAAAAAACAAATCCAGAACAATAAAGAAAGTTATAGTACATTTTCAAACTAGAAGCTGCAAAATGGGAAAAAAATGGGAGAGAAGTTAGACACACCTAAAGGCAATGGCAACATGGAATCCTCCTCGCAATCGCAAGAACACAAGGGACATGAATCCAGACCACTTGACCTCTCTTTGGATCTCCATAGGACTGATGGCTTCATAATGAAAAGAACTAGGAAAAAGCAAACAAAGATCACCCCACATCTCGCTGCCCCTTGGCTACAAAACCTCTGGTCTGATGGATGAGCCATGAGAAAGCGTCCCCTGCGAAGATCCAAACCCAAAATCAAATCTTTAAAACTAAATGCTCTACAAGACAAGAAATGCAAGTATTCATCATAAAAAAGGACTTGCAAAAAAAAGCCCAGATTCAAATAGAAACGGAAAACCCGGAAAAATTAAAAACCAATTTGTTTTTAATACAAAGAAAAAATTGAAACCCAAGATCAGATACCGATTCCCACCCGGGTCAAAAAGATCAAAGCTTCACCCGGATCATTTGAGTAGTCCAATCGTGAATGAAACACACTCTGTTATTCAAAATGCGGATTATGTGCGTACTTGCTCGACTAAATCGCTTGGCTGTTAAGTCGAAATCAAAGGCTTAGTGGGTCACAAACAAAGATTCAAAAAGAAGAAAGCAGATTATGCCGTGTTTGGGTATTTAAGGAAAGTGCAGACGACCCAGATCCCGAAATGTGGAGACGAATTTTATGGATCGAGTTTGCAGTTGCAGTGGAGAGAGAAAATCGGCGTGGAGAGAGAGAGAAAGCAGGGTTTACTGCTGGCTCCTTCCCGTGGAGTGAGGAAGAAGTCTATAATACTTGTGATTCTCAAATCTCAGGAAGAATTCTGTAACCTTTGACCTTTCAAACTTCGTTACTCCGAATATACTCTGCTATTCTATAACATAAAAAAACAAATTGATTTTTTAATCAAATACACACAAAAACCATGTTTAAAAAAATCAATTTGTTATGTACAAATGTCTTTTGATATTCTCCATGTCTAAGTTAGATTTTTGATTTTCCCCTTTGTAAGCCGGTCCGGTCCAAGCAATTAGACCGTGTGCTGCATAGAACCGGTAGAAACCGGTTAAACTCGGAGAAAACCGGCCGGTTTTAACACCGGAACCGGTTTTTTAACTCATTTATAAAGATTTCTAAAAAACACTTATCCCTCCATGTCTAAGTTAGATTTTTGATTTTCCCCTTTGTAAGCCGGTCCGGTCCAAGCAATTAGACCGTGTGCTGCATAGAACCGGTAGAAACCGGTTAAACCCGGAGAAAACCTGCCGGTTTTAACACCAGAACCGGTTTTTTAACTCATTTATAAAAATTTCTTAAAAAACACTTATCCCAAGAAAACCCAGGACTGATGGGGTGGACGAGGCATCTAGAGACCATCTTGGCTACCATGCTTTGTGTTTACTTTCTACGATTCGCTTAATATATTCTATATTTAGGTTTTTTTTATTAAATACTTTTTAAAAATATATATAGTTTTTTTTTACTAAAATTCAAACCCATTGATGTAATTTATATGAAGTGCATATCACACAAATATTTTATATATATTTATTTAAATTATAGGTAAAAGTTTTAAAAAAATTCAAATTACTTTTTATTTATAAGTTTTTTTAAATAAATAAATTTTATTTTTTATTTAAAGACACAACTCAAGTAAATTAAGTTAAATTATAAATCAATTCTTTTATTTATAAAAAGAGAAAATGTTATTTTATTTACTTATATATATATATATATATATGTATATATATATATATATATATATATATTAAAAATGTTTGAACCACTGGTTCAACCACTCGAACCACTGGTTCGATCAGTAAACCAGTGAACCAGTGCCTTGACCGGTTCGATCACCGGTTCGGTTCTGAAAACTATGATATAGAGGCTCTATGTGTTGAAATGCTAGATGATTCTCTTTGATATCTTTTCCATTCTTTATCCTTGGATCCATATCTTTAGTCTCTCATTGCATTCTTTCTCTTTCACTTTCCATTGCACTTTGATCTTCCATTTGTGTTCTTATCAAGGTATATCTCTATCATCTTGTTCTTGATAAAAATATTTCTATTATCTTTATTCTTAACACGTTATCAACATGATACTCTAAAAAATTACTCCTCTTCATATCTTGTCCTTGTTCATATTCATGTTATTGATATATACATATACATATACACATATACACTTATTTATTTTAGTTTTTTAGTGTACTTGTAGATATATTGAATCTAAAGCTTCTAAATATATTAGAGAATTGGCATGTGAAACCTACATTATGTGTTAAAGTTGAAGGTTATATGATTAAACTCAACTTGAAGTTCGAGTACATATTATGTTGGAAAAATTTCATTTCTTTGGTTTTTCTCTTTTGGCTAGTGAACTTGAAGTTCATATTTTGATTTCATATGCTCGAAGCATTAATATGAAAACTCAAACCTGAAGATTTGAGTATGCTACATGAATATATAGGTGACATTATTATTTACTATGCAAAAAAGAAATAATAATAATAATGTTAATATTATAGACTTATTATTTGTGATTATGTAATGTGATCTAATTTATCATTATATCCATAGTTTTGCTCTAATGGTAACCTCCGTTATAATAATAATAATGCATAATCTATACTCCTATATAAAAGCAAAAGAATTGGGAGAGGAAAAAAAAAAGAAAAAAAAGTGTGTTTTCCCGCCCAATGCTCTGCTAAATCTGGTCCGTGGATCTGATTTTTTAGACAAATCAAGGGCCATGATTATTCTTTGGGTGTGCTGTGTGCTATTTGGGATTAATTAAAGGAGCCGCCAATTTATTACAATCATTAATTCTCTTAATAATTATTTCATGTTGTATCCACCATTGATTAGTGATTTGGATTAATCAACGGCTGGCATGAAGTCTTGGATTTCACATGCATTAATTTAGTCCGCCGTCTGAGAGTTAATGTGAATACCAAAAGTCTCATCTACCTATACACTAAGTACAAAATTCTGCTCATTTTCCCCTCTTTTTTTCTTTTCTTTATAATTATATACTCTGCATATAAATATGGACAAATATAAAAACATGTGAAATCTCTTTTTTTTCTTTTAATACTTTTGAAGTAATTCATATCAAATATAAGTATATAAATATAGAAAATAATTTTTTTTGTATAATTAATGATACATGTAGTACAATAGAGCTTTCATATTGGGATGTAAATAAGCATGAAGACAATCCCAAACACACTATGAAATACTCTTTCGGTCCATTAGTTTATTTTTTAAATTCTTTTTTAGGCCGTCTAAAAATTTCTATCATGTTTCATATTTTTCCAAAAAGTTTTTAATGAATGTTCCATTATATATTCACTTTTTATCTATAATATTAACTCTATTACTTCACACCAAGGACAACATATGAAAAATCTTTGCACTTTTTAATTTTTTTAATATTCGTGTGAAGTCAAACCGAGAAAGAAATTTTTGGATAGAAGGAATATTATGCAAAGATTACAATTATATTTTTTAAATAAGACATTTTTATTAGATGAGTTAATGTATGAGTGGCTCCATGCATTTAGGCATAAAACATACTTAAAATCATTCCTACATAAGGAGTATACACGGATACACCTATGTTAATGGCACATCAATACAATTTTGCGTAGGATTTCACTTGATTCGCTAGACTTCAGTAAAAAAGTGCAATATGTTTAGTGTAATATGTTTTCAATTGTTTATCACTTGATTCCCTAGACTTTAGCAACTCAGTGCAATATGTTTTCAATTGTTTTTTAGTAAAAAAAGTACAAATGTGGATCAAAAGTAGTGATTAAATAGTGTAATATGTTTTCAATTGTGTAATATGTTTTCAATTGTTTTTTTTTTTGAAAAAATACCTTCTATGATTAAATAAGTTGTGTGAAGTAACCAGATAGAGGCTAACATAGAATGTATTCAAAAGTTGATACATTAATTTGGTGCATGTGTTTGATTTTTTCAATGTTTTAGAACTTTGATCAAAGAGTAAATATTACACATTATATGAACATGCCCAGATGAACATTCTTATAAAGTTTTTTTTTGCTTTGAACAATAAGTTTTTTGGTTTGCTAAATTCTTCTCTTTATTAACATCTTCACATAAGTTATTGTTTCAAAAGGATTAATATGTTTTCTACTTTAAACTTTAGATAAAGTTCTCTTTTTTTAGAAGTAATAACTTCAAATAAGTATATATTTTAAAGACTATTGAGTGTTTTTCGAAATAAATATTTCTTTTAGTGTGTTTTAATGCTTCTTTGAACATCTAATAGTAAATGCAAAACTTTTTAAATTCTTACTCCTTCCATCTGAAAATATTCTTCACATGTTGACTTGACACACTTATTAAAAAGTAGTAAAAAGTGCAAAACTTTGAAAAAATGCACATATTATAAACTTTTAGAGCTTCTTTTCTATTAAAACATAATAAAAAAGTAGATTAGTAGTAAAATAGAAAAATAATATTTAAATTTATCTCTAAAAATAGACTAAAAAAGAAAATGGAAAGAAAATTTTTGAACGGGCCAAAAATGAAAACGGAAAGAACACTTCCGGACGAAGGGAATATATTATTATGTCTTCGATGCCATTTCAACCAATCAAAAAAGATGTTTACAATCACTGTGTAATATCAAATACATTGCCTTTGTTGAAGGATATGATTATTTTGAAAGTTGATAGAATGGATTCATTTCTAGCCTTCAAGAACTATTTCAGAGGTTATATATGTCTTTATTAAATGCAATCACTAATGTTATTAGTAGTACAAAATAAATACTTGGATAAATAATTGTTTGCAAAATCTTATAAAAACATTTTGTTTTTAATAAAGTTCTATGTTCAAATATCTCTAAAATTTGACCCTCTGTATTTCAAATGGATCATTTTGTTTTCTCCTTTAGAACTTAAGAACATTATTTCTAATAAGTGATGAGTATATACTTTATAGAGGTGGACATCTTTGAAAGTCCAATTTGGGAGATAATTTCTATATTTTAGTCCTATTTTCATTCTTTTTCCTAATCAATATGCTATACAGAATTTAATTTTATGTGAATCTCAATTTATATCATTTATTTGTATTTATTTATATTCAAACATCAATAACTCAAATATTTTACAATTATATTTTGAAATGAAGTTCTTTCCGTGCAACGCACGGGTATGAATCTAGTAAATAATAATAACAATTGAGACCCTTCACGTACCTAAGCCATTTTTTAATAAAAAAACCCTATTATTTAATCAATACACATTAATTTATTTATTTTTCACAATAATAAAAAAGAGTTAACATGTTCACTAAAACACAATATATGGGTATATGAGATACTACCTAAGGTCTTATAATATTCAATTACCACCTAAAGTTGCTGATTTTTAGTATAGAAAAAATCTCATTAAAAAGAGACATTTTGATATTTCAAGACCTTTGTTCTAATCTATATATGATTTCTCATCGATATTCCTAAAGAATGACGTAGTTAATATATTATAATCAAAGGAGTGATTATACATATTATTTTTTTTAGATGTAAGAGTTTTTTTTTCTCTTGTGATAAAAGAAGTTAGTGTGGATATAATTTTCTTTTTATACAAAACTGATAGATAGCTCCAGAAGAGCATTGCATAATAAGAGCTGCATAATAGAAGTAATAAAGGTCTCATAAATATTGAATATTTTGAGAGAATAGTTATTGTCCTTCATTGACGAATATAATATTCTATTGGGTATAAACAATTAAATCCTTATTGTTTATGGTGTCTCTATTAATGTTTAAGATACCAGTGGAAATGAATATTACATGACATTTGATCGAGATTTATTTTCACGTAAACCAGAAGTTTACTGAATCAATTTTTATTCTAAACATAACCAATTAAAGTATCACGTTTTAGTTTGTGGTGTGAAGAAAAAAGCATTAAGAACTCAAGTGGGTACTATTTGAAGAACAAGTTTCTGTTATTATAAGGACCAGAAGATCCTATAGTCTTGTTCTCATTAGAAGATTATTATGAGATTATTACTAATGAAACTTGAGATTCATTTCATACATATTAAGAAATTGTTCAAGGATAATTGATTGGGCCCATCAACTATTCATGATCACAATTTAAATGGTATATATGATGCATCGTTATATTTGTTATATTTGTTGATAATTAACTCGTAACCCGAAGTTTATGATATTTGTCCTATGGACATAATATTTAGGTTATGTTGAACACCATTAGTCACATAAGAGCCTGTAGCTCTAGTTAATACGCAAAATGCATTGAATTGGTGGCTATACTTTTAATTATGAGAACAAAGCATTTTATACTGGTTTTTGAATCTTATGTGGTAATTATTTGGAGCAGATGCTTAGTGGGCATAAATTAAAAGAAATTATCAACTTCAATTAAAGAAGATGTGAACATGAAGTTCAAGAAAGAAGATTGCACTACGATACTACAAATAAAGTGCTCATTATGAATTTTATGTGTCAATTGTAAACACTTTGGTTAGAAGTGAATTCTAGATATTTTCTCAACCATAAAAAAGTGGTCTTATTATAAGGAACCTGTAGTTCCAACATATAAGAAACTGAAGTTCTCCTTTGCATGTATTTTATATACACATGTTCATTTTTATTAATCCTTCCCTATAAATAAAATGTCAAATCTTCAAATTTTTGAGTTTCTTACACTTGATATCTTCTGAAGAGAAACAAGTTTGTCCCTTCTCACAATATTTGATTGTTTGATTGTGTGCTTTATATGCTCTCTTCCCCACAATGCATTCAATAAAATGTAGAAGACTCTGTATTGACATTGGCTATAACTCCTCGTCTATTATAAAATGTTTAGAGTTTTTGATAGGAGATTTATTAACATCAAAGTAAAATGGTTGTCAATTTTATGATGAAATATTTCCAGTCTTAGGGGAGACAAGAATAATGAAAGACTGGTAATACAAGAAATGATATGAAATGCATCATTGTAAATTTTCGACTCCTGAAGTGGTCAATGTAATTTTGAAGTCTGATTTGCAAAGAAGAGAAAATGAATTACTTGATGCATTCACATATATGAGCAGAGTGACAAAGTTACGTATACCAGCATCTTATGCATCGCTCAATTTAAGGTAGTCCCAAAAGTGACAATTGAACATTTTATGTGGGAGAATAATTGGTTTCAAAGATAAGAACCCACGAAAATGAAGATAGTAAAAATGCTATTAGTGAAACCATATACATGATTATGAGTGAAACCCTAGAAAAGGTAACTGTCCCAGAAGAAGACCGATACTATTCTATTCTAGAAGAAAAAGTTTCCTAAAGAAACATCGGCACCGAAAGAAAATGAGATCTCTATTAATTATGTACGAGACTGTACAATATGGAACTAAAATGAAACACGTGTTAATGATATTATTGCATATGCTATGGCAATGGATGTAATCAATAAAAGAGATTGCATGGCTAAAACTCAAAGAAGAGTACATGTAGATAGTACATAAATGATTTGCCAAAATGGAAAAAGACCTTGAAGGTCGAATATAAGTCACTCGATAAACGGAATATTTTCGGACCTGAAGTCTGAACACCTATAGACGTCAAACCAATAGGCTTAAAATGGGTGTCTGTAATAAACAGAAATAAAATGAATGAGATTGTGTGATATGAAGTACTACTTGTAAGGCAATGGTTTTTCTCTAATCTCAGGAGTTGATTATGAGGAAACGTATTTTCCACTAGTGGATGCAATATCCTTATAGAGTTTTAATTGGCCTCGCAATCTCAAAAGGACTTCAAATAAATGATATGGATGTCGTTATGTTAAATGATATGTACTACCTGATTTATCTTACTATCACTCGTCCGGATATTTGTCATTCTGTTCATGTTTTGTCCCAGTTTATGCAGGCACCAACTCTTGATCACATGAATGCTGCTTTGCGTGTTCTGCGTTATATCAAAGGCCATCCGGGTCAGGGAATTTTTCTGAGTGCTACTAGTAATCTTCAGATTACTGCTTACTGTGACTCTGACTGGGCTAGTTGCCCTCTCTCTCGATGGTCTGTTAGCGGATATTTCATTATATTGGGCACTTCCCCGGTGTCATGGAAGACGAAGAAACAGACTACCGTGGCGCGATCTTCTGCAGAAGCTGAATATAGGGCCATGGCCAACACGTGTGTTGAGATACGATGGATGCATGGCATTTTGGGCGCGTTAGGTGTCCCTATTTTATATCCTCCGCGTTTATATTGTGATAATCAATCAGCTTTGTGTATTGCAGCAAATCCAGTGTTTCATGAACGAATGAAGCATATCGATGTTGATTGTCATACGGTTCGTGAATCTGTTCAGCGCCATGAGGTGTCTACTCGCTATGTTCCCACGCGATATCAATTGGCTGACATCTTCACTAAACCATTACCCAAAAATGTTTTTGATTTCTTGTTGTTCAAGTTGGGCATTCGGGATCTTCATGCTCCAACTTGAGGGGGAGTGTTAGCGGATATTTGTAATTAGATGTAGATTTTGTGTTATTGGGCCTGTACTTGTAGCCCATTTATGTACTTGTATATATATCGGTTTATGATCAATGGAAAATCAGTTCAGTTGTGCTAAATTTTTATCATGGTATCAAAGCCAGTTTTAGCCCACCTCGTTTGTCAAGGTGTCCGTCTAGACGTTCATTCCTAGCGGCCCGTTAGTCTTTAGCCCAGTTGTTCGTATGGAGAATGTACCCAACGGCCTGTGGCCTGGAAGTCCATACCCAGCGACTCGTGGTCCTTTAGGTGTTGGCGCTCATAAAAAAAAAGTCAAGGGAATGGGAGTTCATTTACAAGTGGTCAACCGGTTAGATTCAAAATGGCCCGGTTGTCCACTTGAGGGGGAGTGTTAAAGAGTATCCCACATCGGAACGTGAAGATAAAATAAACCGGTATATAAGCCCTTGAGTTGAACTAACTAATCGATTGGATTCAATCTTTTAAGATGGTTCGGCCCAAGTGTCTTATAGCCCAATCCAGTTGTCCATACCCATCCTAAATTCTATCACGTTATAACATAATTATAAGGGACACTTGAAATCGACATCCGTGTGATAATAATCCCTGAAGGATTCAAGATGCCAGAAGCAATAGAATTAATACATCGAGATATGTGTGAAGAGATCGTGGAATGGTCTCAAGTAATCTGGCCACATGTGGTACAATTGGCTCAGTGAATATCTCAAAAAAGAAATATTCCCTCCGTCCGCCTAAGATGTTCTCATTTTGACTTTTGGTGGTATTTAAGTAGAGTTGAAAAAAGGTGAAAGTTTACCATAATACCCTTAATGAAAAATGGGTGGAGTGTATTAAATGAGGTGGGTGAGGTGTAATAAATAAAGTAAGTGGGGGTAGTTGTGGTATTTTACTTGTTAAAAAATGAAATGAGAAGATCTATTGTGGACAAAGAAAAAGGGCTATTGGGAAGATCTATGGTGGACAGAGGGAGTATACAAATTTGAAATC